TAAGTCATTATTATGAGAAAGTTTCTCATTATTACGAGAAACTAAGTCATTATTTCGAGAAAGTTTCTCATTATTTCGAGAAACTAAGTCATTATTACGAGAAAGTTTCTCATTATTACGAGATACTAAGTCATAATTTTGAGAAAGTTTCTCATTATTATGACTTACAGAATTATATTTTTTTTATTTAGTGGTGGAAACGGGCTTCCATAGTTTAGCGAATCCTTGCTGAATAAAAGTATTAACATTTAAAAAAAAAAAAAAAAGTGTACTGACCCCAAACTTTTGAATGGTAGTGTCAATAAGGGTATTTACACTTAAATGTTATTCATTGGCATCTTTAGCTATATCTTTAACTGTGATCATCAAAAACAAAATTAATTCAGTCTAAACATTCTATTTGATGAAAAGGGATCTGATGAGCATTGACAGTAGGTGTGTTGATATGAACTGTGCCTAGCCCTGCTGATCAGCAAGAATAGAAGGTTGCAGTTGGGGGTGGAGTTGAGAAGAGAGCCATCAGATCAGATGCTTTCTGCTTTTTGCAGTGTCTACGGGAATAACACTACATGAAAGCAAACAGAATGCTGTTGTTGAGTTGACTCTGTGAGTTTAAGAAGAATGTGCAGGCTAAATTTTAAGCATTTATTTAAACATGAGCAAGCCTACATTATGAACACAACCAAAGAAATCATGCCAATCCGTGTTGCCCAGCGACAGCCCCAAAACATTACTGCTCTTGAGGAATGGGCCAAAATACCAGCAACCGTGTGTGAAAACCTTGTGAAGACTTACAGAAAATGTTTGACCTCTGTCATTGCCAACAAAGTGTATATAACAAAGTATTGAGATGAAATTTTGTTATTGACCAAATACTTATTTTCGACCATAATTTGCAAATAAATTCTTTAAAAATCCTACAATGTGATTTTCTGGATTTTTTTTTTCTCATTTTGTCTCTCATAGTTGAGGTATACCTATGATGAAAATTACAGGCCTCTCTCATCTTTTTAAGTGGGAGAACTTGCACAATTGGTGGCTGACTAAATACTTTTTTTCCCCACTGTATGTCTTTAGAGGAACTTACAGAGGAGCCTAATCTATTATGATTCACTTTAATGTTTACATATATGAAATCTCAAAATCTACCTGTTTATAAAGGAGAAGCGTTTTGGGGGATGTATGGATGATTTGGAGATTCTTTTGAATTTGTTTTATCTATTGCTTTATTTAAAATGATTTATAACTGTATTGTTTCATTTGTTTTTTTTCTCACACACTTTTCATGTCACACATCAATTCTTAGTTTAATTTTAGTATTCAAATAAAGGCACAAAACACTTATTATCAGCTATATTACTGTTAGGTAATCAAAAATGTCATTTGAAATTGTATGCTTGTAAATAGGTTGCCAGTATTTAGACTAAATAAGATGTAATATTTATTCTGATAAGTCATTTTCTAAACCATTTGTGCATAAACAATGTGGTGTTAAATAGAACTCTATAATTTGAGCTTATATTAGAGAAATTATTTGCTCTTCCTGCTTTTTATATTTAGATAAACATTCTCATTAGATGCCTATCTTTCTGCCATTTGCATTCAGCTGACCTGTCTGAGTGCACCATTGTTCAAGCAGTACTTTGTAAATTCTGTTTATGTTTGCCTGCTCTGACATTCTTGATTGTCTTCCCTCTGTGCATCTAGAAGACAGAACAACCAACTCTGCTAGACCCACAGGAGACTCAATGTTACCAGTTACAATGGAGCAGAGAGAATTAAGCACATAAGAAATAATGGTCATGTATGAGGTACGTAGTACAAGTAACTGCAGTGAGGGATTGTGTGTTGTAAGTTAAAGTAGCATTGAAAATAACAGATACTATAACTATATACAAGAATACAGAGCACTGATCCAGATATTCAGCACTTTTTAAAACAGCACAATTAAACATCAGCAGCCCTGGGAGAAATTAAAGTCACATCTGGCTTGATGGGCTTTATTCGTCAACATTTAACCACATTTTTGCAAAAAAAAAGAGAAGAAATCCAACTCGTAGTCAGTTAAAACATTTTTTTATTAGGATTTCAGGCTAATTGATTTCAGACTTCTTGAGTTGGACTTATAAAATAGCGACTGAATACATTTTCTGAAACAGAACTAGTACTGCCAGTATCTTTCCAAGCTTTCTACTTGACTTATACTGAACTTCTCTTTAAAAAGTGATGACAGATGGAGACTTAAAGACCGACACAAGTAATTAATGATATAGCTAGTAGGGTAAAAGATTCCAGTGGAGAAAACTGATAGCAATTGTATTTCTATCGACTCTTTGCCTCTCTCTGGTGGTACAAGTATGTATCACAGTTCATCAATTTGAACGGTCCATAATGGATAAATGCAAAAACACAACTTCAAATAAGAATAAAACAGTTTATTTATTTAAAAAAATTTCTACAACTGTTTGTCTTTTTTTAAAGCCTTTCACACAACGGACACTACAAATGATCTGATGGAAATGTTTTACTCAGTGGTCAAAAGTACACTGCAACTTTAGATATGATCAAACAGCCATTTGTAATATTTAATTCATGAAATAAACTAACAATGAACAACAGATGTTCACAAGCAAAAAAGGAAAATTAATTCTCAAAAATAATGTGTACAAATATGCGATTCCCATCATTCAAACTGAATTGTCCTTTTACCTGCAGACAGCTTGAAAATTGCTTTTGATGGGTGAATACTACCATCTACAACAAATTGCTTTGACGTGAATTTCTCTTATTTTGCCAAGTTCCCATTAGTTGTGATGACACTCAACAGCGTGGCTACATGTACTATTGCATGACCATTGCAAGATTACCATTGCAATTTAAGAAATACAACAGCAATTGATTCACTAGACTCTATACATTACCTAAAGATAAAACGTTTAGTCAAATACAACAGAATGTCTTTTCTAGCAAAATGGGCATTTCTAGGTTCTGGAGGACTTTGTATAATAGTGTCCATATGGTTGGATTTGTCTACACAGAACAGAAAAACTAACGATCCCTTGTGGGGATAACGTGTTCTAATAGGGCTGCCTTTAGCATGTGATAACACATATTTTCATATGTGCACTTTTAAAGTATTTTGGTCATTTTTACAATTCTGAAATTAATATGTACAAAAATCGTGGCAGACTTTTTTTTCACAGATGTGTTGTTGAATTCAAAATGGCTACATGGATTTTAGTGAATATTCAGTGAGCCAGGGTAAAGTGAGCAGTACGACAGTAATAATACACGAGGTTATAATATGGTTGAATTCCAGAATACTATGGACACTACTCCCTTCCCTGAGCTAAAAAAAAATGGTCCAATGAATGAAGTAGTCCACTACCATAAAAAGGGGGAAAAGTTCTAGAATTATAGAAGGACCCCTCACCATACTGGCTTTTTGGTCCACTTCAGGGTACCTGGAATACATCAATCTGTGCATTATACAGTATTTGTACCTGCCTGTAAGCAGTGATATGTTAAAAATAAATGCTTTTAACAAGTGACCAAGGGACAGAGCTTAAAGGGTTAGTTCACCCAAAAATGAAAATTACCCCATGATTTGCTTACCCTCAAGCCATCCTAGATGTATATGACGTTCTTCTTTCAGACGAATACAATCGGAGTTATATTAAAAAAAACATCCTGGCTCTTCCAAGCTGTATAATGGGAGTGGATGGTAGCCCAGAATTTGGCTTGAGGGCAAGTAAGTCAATTTCACAAGAACCGTCATTTTGATTAGAATACATCTAATTCCCTAATCGGCTGTCCAGTGCACTTTGTCAACCTGAGTGGTCACTGAATTTGCCTGTTGTTCGGACTACTCAGTCTTCTTCCTGAGGGCAGGGCTGCTGTTCCAGTAGTAGAGGACTTGAGCTGCGATCACACCATTACAGAAAGAAGAGATGATGTAGGTGACAGCCATGAGGGAATCTCCCGTTTCCTGTACAGAGGATTAAAATGGGCATTTATTAAAGGAACTGTGTCAACCCGTTTTGAAATAAATACAAAATCCAAAGAGGACCATAAGTAGTTTTCACTAACATTAAGTATCAGGTCATAAGTCTTTTTTAATAATTTCATTCAGCAAGAATACATTCAATTAATCAAATTAGTTAGATAAGATTTATATATTGTTCCAAAAAAATCTAAAATAAATGCTGTTGTTGAACTTTCTATTAATCAAAGAATCTTAAAAAAAAAAAATGTAACAGGGTTTCCACAAAAATATTAGGCTTGCCAACGGTTTTCTCATTTGGTAATATTAAGAAATGTTACTTGAGCATCAAATCAGCATATTATAAAGATTTCTGAAGGATCATGAGACACTGAAGACATAAGTAATGGCTACTAAAAAAGAAAACACCTTTACATTTTAATTTACAATAATATTTCACAATAGAGACTTCTGTTCTCCAAAATATTGTCTGACATCTCATTATAGTGGTTTTACCTGCACTGTAGTGAATATGCGTGCTAAGGAGCCTGCAAACAGCAGAAACACTGAAATAGCTGACAGCTGTCCAGTGTGGCCATTTCTGTAGTTGGTACCAGCCTGAATTAACTGAAGACACAGAGAAAATTGGACACATTACATGAAATATATATTTCTGCTGGGTCAGTTGTTGAACAGCATTGGTGTTTATGTCTAGCTTACCCGTCCAAAGATAATGGCTGGCATATTAGAGGCTTGCATGGTAGTAACAACAGACAATGGTGTCACAGGAGAGAATAGGACTCCCAACAGACCAAAGTAGACTGCCAGAAACCCCAAACCTGCAAATAATCGCAGCACAGTGAAAAGATACATCATAAACTTTGCCATTTAAAATGAATGACAGCAGCACAGTTTTTGTTTGTTTTTTTAAAACTTACCTTTGATGGTGTTTCCTCCATAGTGCTGTATGAGGAAACCAATGGTCACAGTTTGAATCATGAGGAAAAGTGCCTCACCCCAGGAACTGTCAAAAATAATCACAGTAAAACATGTTATATGTGACCATGGACCACAGAACTAGTCATAAGGGTCCATTTTTTTCAAATTAAGATTTATCATCTGAATGTTGAATAAATAAGCTTTCCATTGATGTATTTAGATGTATGCATTTCATATTTGAAAATCTGGAATCTGAGGGTGCAAAAAAATCTAAATATTGAGAAAATCGCCTTTAAAGTTGACCAAATGAAGTTCTTAGCAATGCATATTACTAATCATAAATAAGTTTTTGATATATTTACGGTAGGAAATGTACAAAATATCTTCATGGAACATGATCTTTACTTAATATCCTAATGATTTTTGGCATAAAAGTAAAATCTATAATTTTTTACCCCTACAATGTATTGTTGGCTATTGCTACAAATATACCCCAGCGACTTAAGACTGGTTTTGTGGTCCAGGGCCACATATATTTATGTGTTTAGTAACCAGTTTTTTCCCTTTGTTGTTTGATATTTATAAATGCACAGTGTTTGTATAGACATATGTGTACCAGACTTATGAAAAAGCACACTTAGCACAATTATGAAAAAGTGTCACTACTGATTTACCTGAAAGGAAAGCTGTTGGCAATACTGTAGGCCATGGTGCCTGTGATAGCAAACAGCTCCAGTAGCACAGAGTTAAAACTCAGTCCCTCAGCACTTCTGGCACCAATCAACTTTAGAATCTGAGGTAGTTTTACTATGAAGAGACATGCACAAAATATCTGTATTAGAAGAAAATAGTTTGGGTTTGTGCGTGTCTGTGTGTGTTGTAAAGATGAAGAGGGAGTCTTTTCATACCTAATACAGAACCAAGAATGATCCCAATGCCCAGGCCTTTGCTGATTACAATCTTCAGACAATCCACTAAAGAGAATCACAAAGAGGAACTTGGGAGTCAGGCTTCGATATGACTTGTAAGTGGTTGCATGTGAAAGTTTAGGCACATATTTTTAACGCAAGTTACACAGGAAATTAATTTAAAACAGACATTATTATTACGTTTGACATGTATTAATTAAAACCAAAGGAATCGGATGTTTTAACAGCTTTTACGGAAACCCCCGATAATGACCGAGGACATACAGGTATCCAGTAAGAAACTGACATGTATATGGGTCCGCCTCCTCTAACAAGCGCGAGGTAGTGAAGCTGACGAGGTTTAAAACAGACATAAAAAAAAGAATAAAACACATGTACAGCTCAATAACTAAGACACATATTTTGTATGATAGATGATCATAACTTAGAGGACTAATTTTAAATAAGATTATCTCCCCTAAGGTCGACAAAAAACCGAATAATGCAGTTATTACCAAACTACCAAAGCTGCCAAAATGTCAGGTGTTTTACAAGAGAAAAACCCACTTTGTCATTGAATCGTTGTAAGTATACAAGCAAATAAGCTTTGAAATAACGTCTATTTATCTATAACGTTACTACTAAACTGATCAAATGTGAACCTACCGTGCAGAAGATTGAACTGTAAAAATAACTCGTCATAACATTTTTCTGGCATTAAATAATTAACCAGAATATCTTTGAAAGGATCCATGAATGAGGTTTCTACAACTGCTTCCGCCATGATGCCAACGTCAAATCAAATCAAGTCACGTGATGTCGTACGCTACTTCTTCTTCTTCTTCTTCTTCTTCTTCTTCTTCTTCTTCTTCTTCTTCTTCTTCTTCTTCTTCTTCTTCTTCTTCTTCTTCTTCTTCTTCTTCTTCTTCTTCTTCTTCTTCTTCTTCTTCTTCTTCTTCTTCTTCTTCTTCTTCTTCTTCTTCTTCTTCTTCTTCTTCTTCTTCTTCTTCTTCTTCTTCTTCTTCTTCTTCTTCTTCTTCTTCTTCTTCTTCTTCTTCTTCTTCTTCTTCTTCTTCTTCTTCTTCTTCTTCTTCTTCTTCTTCTTCTATTTTTACGGCGGTTGGCATCCAGCGTATTGGTGCATTACCGTCACCTTCTCCTCCGGAGTGTGGATCAGAAAATAGGTTTACAGACTAAATCACCCATTCTCCCACCTTTATCCCGACACATACATACCTACACACGCACACCTTATCCCTGCCCTGCTTTATAATAACATTAATAACAACAATAATACTTTACCTTCCTCACTATTCCTTTAACTCTTCATATCCTATAAAAAAACCCAGTTACTCTTAAAAAGTTTATAAGAATTCTGGTCTGTGCCCTATGCTCTGTGCTCAATAATCCCTTTAATGTAATATCCTGAACCCCTATCTCCCTTAGCTCATTCCTCATCACCTCTCTCTGTGCTCCAAACCTGTTGCATCTCAAGACCACATGCTCTACTGACTCCTCTTCCTGACAACCCTCACACAGTCCAGTATCATGCCTCCCTATCAATTTAAGTGTTTTATTTATAAGCAATGTCCCAGTCTTAGCCTAGTTAACACAATTTCTTCTCTCCGATTTCCACTATCAACAATTTTATGTTTAACTTCCCTTTGGATTTGATATAAGTGCCTACCTTTCCCTTCTCCATCCCACCTCTCTTGCCACTTTTGATTTATTCTCTCCCATATTACACTTTTAACCTCTGTTTTGCTAACACTTACTTGCATTTCTATTTTTCCTTTTGTTAATGCCCTTTTTGCTAATTTATCTGCCATTTCATTCCCCTTTATCCCTACATGACCTGGGACCCATATAAATTTCACCTGTCTTCCTTGATTTACTATTCTTGTCACTGACTGGAGTACTTCAAACAGTATATCTTGACGACTTTTAGAAGAGAATGACCTTAGACTTGCTAGAGCTGATGCCGAATCTGAGCATATCAAAACTTTGTCCTCGTACGCTACTTTAATTCTTCCCCTTTATTAATGAACACTCTTCTAGTAACTGATGTTCCCTCGACTCGTGATTAAAGAGAGTGGATCCAACCACGCCCCCTGGATCTCGTGTTCTGCAGTGAGGGGCTACTGGAGAGGTGGCCCAAAATATTACTTAGTTATAATGTATTATTATTATGATTAGTAGTATGTGTATAAATTGTGACTTCGTTTAAAGCTAGCTAGTTTGTCCTCAGTGACCTTCCATAGAAGTAGAAGCGATAGTGAAAATAACATTTTTAGATGCGGTCAACTTTTTGTATCTTTGAGCTCAAATGATCAGTTACACAGGCTCAATAAGAAAAAGTGAATCTGGCATCAATTCCGACATTTCAGGCCAGCCTTACTGCGTCTCAGTGTTGAAAGAGGGCTACTGCACAGCTGAACCAGACGGAGCGTTTAGAGCTGACGGAACTATTTCTTTAGTTACCGGACAGCAAACTATCCTAGAGGACACCGGAGGCCCGTGGGACCGAAACTTTCTCGTCGCAAAACTTGAGAAAGGTCTTACACCAGATAATGGCGCTACAGTAGTCGGAACCCACGGTCACTCGGACCACGTGGAAGGCTTGTTTCCAAACGCCAAAATAATCGTGGGATGTGACATAAGCGTGGGGGATCGATATCTGCCAACCCAGCTGGCTGAGGGACAGCCATACCCTATTGACTATTTTGTAAGTTGTTAGACTAGCAAAAGTTATGTATATTCTGAAGTAGTATAAAAGTATAATCAAGTAATGCACTTTATCCACAAGGTATCCGTCATTGCCACGCCTGGCCACATGGGTAGAGATGTCAGTGTCCTGGTGAAGGGAACATCGGAGGGGACAGTCCTTGTTGCTGGAGACTTGTTTGAACGTTGCCATGATGAAGATTCATGGAAGGAGCTGAGCGAGAATCCTCAAATACAGGAGACCAAACGACAGATGGCGCTGCAGATTGCGGACGTGATCGTTCCTGGACATGGGCCGTTATTCAGCACAGGCAATGATGACATTGACGTAATCCTGGAGTTATCCACCTTTTTTTGTTGTAAAAATGGGTTAAAGGGGTCATATGATGCGATTTCAAGTTTTCCTGTGTTCGGCCAATCACAATGCACTGGGTCAGCTGGCCAATCAGAGCAGACTGTGCTTGTCGGAAGGAGGGACTTTGTAGAAAATGAAGTGTTTGAGAAAGGCGGGGCATAGAGGACCTACCATAATGTACAGTATTTGAAAAATAATGTGTTTTTTTAACATTAAAGCATGTCAACATATTCTGTTACACCAAATACACAAAATAATGATCTTTAAAAAAGCATCATATGACCCCTTTATGGCTAGAAGGGATACGTATGGTGCAACTGGGCATGCGCACATCAATACAGCATAATTTTTGTCACACTGTACAACAATAATTACTATTTTTTCATTATTGTAAGGGGTAGGTTTAGGGTTGGGGTAGGTGTAGACGTTAATAAAACACAATCTAATAGGTAGAAAATTTATTTCATTGTTCGTTTCCGTTCTGAGCTGTATCCCTTCTAGCCACAACCGTAAAAATGGGCGCTGCCATTTGTAAATTCTATGGGTCTGGCTTCCGGTCTCATCTGCGTCCAGCTATTTTTAGCTGTACAAAACAGTTCGTTTTGCTGCTTGATACTGAAAATTGGTGTGTCTTATATTATTTTAATGTATTATCTTATTTATAAACACACTGGTTTGTAGTGCAAACAGTTTTACCGTTTACTGCACGTTGTTATTCTCCTCGTTATTTACCTATAGCTGTTAATGATCCGGAAGTCTCACCCATAGGCTTACTTCCGCATTGAAGAAAAAGGAGAGCAATTATGAAACCTTGACCACAAGGAACACAATACTTTATATCACCAGTGTGACGCAGGGGGTTTAAAATAGGACCTTGGTGCTGACTCAAACCACTGTACACCTTCTGTAGGTGTGAAATTAGATAATGTATCAATGTTTACCATGGCTTTATACTTCAAACTTAGTTCATCAGTTTACCCGTATTGACTGCTAAAGGCAGTGACACACTTTCTTGAGTTATTTTTAGGCTTTATCTTGTTTTTAGATCATGTGACAAAAGGCTATGGAAGATATGATTGGCGTCAGATGTTGTAACTCAGTAGTAAATGAGGTTAAGGATGGGACTTTGACAAAAATAATATATGGAAGGACATTTTATGTGTGCCATCTTAATTCTTTATTTAAAGTTCATACAAAATTGTTAAATCATTGCTTCATACTAAAGCTGTTTGCTGTAGCCTGTCAAAATATGTGCTTTGTGATTATTTAGTGTCAATATAAATATGAATCACAGCATTTTACTATGTTTGCATGTGTTTTTGTTCTCATCCTCAGGCCAATCCTTCTTTAGGCCCTGTAGCATCAGCTTAAGAAATGAATTCTTATTCAGGTAGTATTTAAGCACAGTACATTTACTGTACCTGAGTGCGTTCAAAATTAATGGATGTAAATTGCTTTTAAATGTTATAGAAAGCAGTGACTCGCTGAGATATTGTTGCACAACATTTTACATTTTGTACAACATCATGCTTTTTGTTAAGTTCAGGTAAAGTTCATTAATGTCACAAGTTACTCACAGTGGTTAACCAAAGAATATGCATTCAGTCTCAGCACTTGTTTCATTATTACCAGTATATGTTGATGAGGTAACTGTGTGTTGTGGTAAACCAATGTGGACTTTATTAAAGTAGTAGTCATTCTATTTTTCAGACTCTTCTTAATAAATATTACTATATATTTCAATTGTGCTTGACACATGGCTTGTGGATGTTTTTCCATTAACTTAATAAATGTTATGATGATACAAAATGTTATGTGTTTTCCCATTTTATATATATATATATATATATATATATATATATATTAATTTATGTGAACACTGGTAGTTTTAGACAATAAACTGAGTTTATTTAATTAATATGGAGTATTGGCCAGCTAACTGATGGCATACACAATTGTTATTTTCTCTGCCAACTAAACCCAAGTCACAGAACCGTTGTGTACCTGACTGACTCGCAGTAGGCGCATAGAGTGGTGTATCATTCCTAAATGAATCAGTTTTTGAAAAACCCATTATTATAGACAACAATTCAATTACCAATTATTATAGACAGCCGCTTGATTTTATTCCTAAATGAATGAATGAATGAATTAAGCATTTTGAACCAATTGATTGAATAAAAGGATCCTTTATTAACACAATGACTTACAGCCACCTAGTGGCGATATTACTTTCATAATTCAAGTATTATTTAATTTTATTCATATTTCTATTAAAAATGTTGTATAAAACATTAATCTAATTTCATTATACATTTGTAAATGCACATATAGCCATCTTATCAGCATTAAACTGTAAATACATTTAAAAGCATCTTCAGACCCAGGTTCTATATCATTGAATACTGATTTGGTATGGATACTGAATTGGTAACAGCCTATTGTCATATTATTCTAATTTATTTAATGTAAGAATTTAACATTAAAAATGACGTAAAAGGTAAAAAAAATTAAATTAAATAAATAAATAAATAAAAAACTGAAAATCAGTTGCCCCTTATGTGAAAGTTAATTTCTGATACTGCTGACACTGGCTTATTGTTCGAAGTGTTATTTCAGGGTTTGGATATGTTCTTATAACTCAAACGAGTTCACCTTCAAATCATGACGTCAAATTCACATTTCACTAAAGTCAATCACTGAAACAAGCACTGTGAGGAACAAATAGTCCCATGCCAGTGGGATAATAACAGATGATTTCCTAAATTTGTATAAAGTGCTCTATGAATAAAACTCAAAATAGAAAAATAATAGATGTGCTGTGAAGGTAAATTACACAAAGTCATTTATTTTCATATCTGTAATATTATTTAAGTTCCTCCTTTGTCTAAAATGCAGCGTATTGTCTAAAACAAAAGTTATGACTGTTTGTTCACATAAATTGATAGTGGTCAATACATTCTCCCCGTGCTGCAGTGCGTCGCGCAGCTTTTCCACACAGAGTTTGATAGGTGGATAACTATAATAAAACAGGCATGCCTAGGGCCAAAAGGCTCTGCTTCAGTATGGTTTGTGTCAAGCCATTCATTAATCTGGCTGTTTGATGAAGAGATAAAATGTAGTAGAAATAAACATGTTAAGAATCAATAGAAGCAGAGGACTATTATTAAGGTTTTTTTGGGACTATTATTATGTTGTAATGTTTGGTTGACCAATTAGCAGAGAGGGGCGTTTCATTCCCGCCCACATGTAGAGATCGAATATTCAAGTTGTTTATTCGTTTTCTATCCCTGAATGTAAAAACGAAAAATTAAGCCGGATTCTTGATTTTTCGTTTTGTTTGAATAATTGAAAAACGAAATATGTGCCGTTTTTCATTTTTCAGATTTCAATATTAAAACAAAAATTGATTGGACGGAAGATACCCTGATTCTCTAGGGCCCTATGAAATCAGTTTTATTTTATTCTAAATTGTTATTTCCATTTAAAATTTTCTGGATTCGTTTTCATTTTTCTGAACTCTTTTTAAAAAAAAATGTTTTTTATAAATTACATTTTATTAATCAGAAAGCATGTGTAATTATTTGCAATTATGAAACTTACACAATTTAACAGCAATTTATTAAAAGTTTAACAAAAATTAAATTTTTAGGACCCTATGAAATCCTTTTTTTCTCAAATTTTTCTGGATTTCATGTTAATGGTTTAATTAAATTTTAATAATCAAAAGCATCTCTAATTGATTTTTTTTTTTAAATAATTATTATTGGGGTAGGGCCCTATGAAGAAAAACACTGAAGAAATGACACTTTGCTACAATGTAAAGTAGTGAGTGTACAGCTTGTATAACAGTGTAAATTTGCTGTCCCCTCAAAATAACTCAACACACAGCCATTAATGTCTAAACCACTGGCCACAAAAGTGAGTGCATCCTAAGTGAAAATGTCCAAATTGGGCCCAAAGTGTCAATATTTTGCTGCAGCAATGCTGGCAGCACTCATATGTCTATTTCCCAAACACTTTTTGATCCATTTTAACTCATTGTCATGTTCAAGAAACCAGTCTGAGATGATATGAGCTTTGTGACATGGTGCATTATCCTGCTGGAAGTAGCCATCAGAAGATGGGTACACTGTAGTCATAAAGGGATGGACATGGTCAGCAACAATACTTCAGAGATGCTATTCTGCATTCCTTGGTTGTAACGAGTAATTATTTGAGTTACAGCTGCCTTTGTATCATCTCTAACCAGTTTGCCCATTCTCCTCTGACCTCTGACATCAACAAGGCATTTTCGTCCACACAACTGCCGCTCACTGGATATTTTCTCTTTTTCGGACCATTCTCTGTAAACCCTAGAGATGGTTGTGCGTGAAAATCCCAGTAGATCAGCAGTTTTTGAAATACTCAGACAAGCCCGTTTGGCACCAACAACCATTCCACGTTCAAAGTCACTTAAATCCCCTTTCTTCCCCATTTTGATGCTCGGTTTAAACTTCAGCAAGTCGTCTTCACCACATCTAGATGCCTAAATGCATTGAGTTGCTGCCATGTGATTGGCTGATTAGCAATTTATGTTACCAAGCAATTGAACAGGTGTACCTAATAAAGTGGCCAGTGAGTGTATATCTTCAACATACGTTGTCTATGACCAAAAATGTAAAAATAGGCTATATGTTTTCAGTGGACTTTTAAAATTTGCTTTGCTTGAGAAAACAAAAATATACAGCTACAGTGTTTTTTTCTTTTGATTTAGTCGAGTTGGTTTTGCATCAAACACAATTGGCGCTTTTCCCCTGCATGGTACGGCACGGAAAGGCTGGGTATGGTTCACTTTTGGGGGGTTTTCCACTGGGTACAGTACCTGGTACCTGGTACTTTTTTTAGTACCACGGTTGGGGTTCCAAGTGAACCGTACCGTTACCAAAACGTGACGTGTAAACTCTGCTGATCACGGATTGGCCGGAGAGAATCGTCACTACCTGCGTCACTGAACTTGCGACAAAAACACAACAGAACCGCTAGATTTAAATCAGCACAGCCAGCGAAGCATCGAACGCAACTGTTTTAAACGAGCGCTCTTTTTTTAACAACCAAAAGGTGGTGTTGTCTGTTGCGGAAGAACAGACGTTCCTCTCGTTGATAGCAGAGGAGCGGATCCAGCGAGAGCTTGATGGGGCGACATGGAATGAAATAGTTTTTCATGAGTCGCGGCAGTAGAGGCGGCGCAACTATAACGACATGTGAATAATCCCGCCCATTCTAAAGCGGTACTGAACTGCACTGGAAACGCAAACTGTTCCGAACCGTGCCGTGCCGTGCCGTACTGAGCCGTGCCGAGCCGAGTGGTACCACGCAGTGGAATATATATATATATATATATATATATTTCAGTGACGTTCCGTCCTATAAACTGCGAATGCTCCGCATACCCAGGCCATTTGAGAGAATAAGTTCATGGGATAATTAATATAAACTTGATTATAAGTTGATCCCTTGTCATTTGAAATGTAGCTTAAAGAGTTAGGAATAAGTACATAAAATGATTTTTTTTGCCAAACAGCAGTAATTTTCTGTAAATCTATGTCAGTTATGGTTGCTTCCAGGCGAGCGGATTCTCCGCAGCTTTCTCGCCGCCACTCTGTTGCTATGCCCAAGCGGAGAAATGCGCTGTTGTACGGCAGATCTCGATTGCCGACAATTACATTGTGTTTGATGCAAAACCAACTCGACTAAATCAAAAGAAAGAAAAAAACACTAACTGTATATTAAAATTTTCTCAAGCAAAGCAAATTTTAAAAGTCCACTGAACAACTTACATTTTTGGTCATAGACAACGTATGTTGAAGATATACGTTATTGTCAACGTTATTGCCTAAGCGGTAAATAGAAAAAATAAAATAAAAATTAATAAAAACGTGGGCTATATAAAATGTTAATAATAACAAACATAAAAATAATAATATTATTATTATAATAATTATTATTATTAAGTTAATAATAACTTATGGTTGAAGTCCTTCTCTGATTTTATTATTGTTTGCAAAGTTGCAACGTTACTTTGCAATATTTTAAATACTTTTGGTTATTTTTGCATGGTCTGTTATTGGAGTAGTGTCATCCGGGTGGGAGTTTTAACTCCTATTCACTGGGAATAAAAAATTTATTTAGCTGATGCAGAGACACATATAGACCAGGGGAATCCCCCCATCTCCCCACCCTCTGATTACGTATCATAACATAACTACGTGTAAACGTTATTCGGCGGTTTTTACTTGGCTATATTTTTTAACTACGTGTAAACGTTATTCGGCGGTTTTTACTTGGAAAACCAGCTATATTTTTCTTCCATTCGAATAACAATGGATAAA